TACGCGTTCGTCTTATTCTAGACATGAGAAGTTCGCCATACCATGGAATAGCGGAGTGGCTAGCGGAAAAGCTCAAGCCTATACAGAGTTAGTTAGCTCCATAAAGCCTCCAGGACACCTTCGAATTCATGGATGGTGTGAAAGACCTCGGGACGGTGATGCTTTTACTGGATGTCTCCTCCCTGTTCACGAACGTGCTGGTCACAGAAAGAGTCAATTACTTCCGCGAAGTCATTACCTCGTATCAGCAGGACATCGAAATGCGGGTAAATACACTCAAGGAATTACTGTTAACATGCACCTGGAATGTGCAGTTCCCATTTGACAGCAACCTACACAAGCATTTGGCTGGAATAGCTATGGGCTCGCCCCTTGGCCCGCTTCCAGCAAATATATGTATCGTAAGAATACATGGTCCGGGCAATATACCCATCTTATTAGTATATTATCGTTAACTTCAAACCTAATGTAGTACTTCGTTTGACGCCAAGGATGAAAAGGATCTGTTCAACTGACAGCATCGAAGAACAGCCTAAGATCGTGGAAGGCATTTTTCGACAAAATGGGCATGCAAGGCTGAAAGACTGCCAAAGCCATTAAGCGAATTTTCGTCAGGGTCCCACTTCAACGGCGCACGTCAAGCGAACGGCAAAGAAGGCGTCTAACTCAAGCTGTAGCAATCACCTTTCCAGCAGCTAATGCCATCTACTGTAATCGACTGCCCCGCATCCTACACGGAAAGATCAAGGATAAACTGTCAGCCTAAACCACCTCTGTGTGTATCCGTTCATTCACTTGCTCATGTGGGGCAGAATATATTGGTCGCACGAGCCGACGTTTGTCCGAAAGAGTACGAGGACACCTTCCAGCATGGTGAGGGAAGGGCCAAGTTAAAGGGCGTAAACAGTTTCATTCTAGCGCACATGGTAGACTCAGGCCATCGTGTGGATGCCAGAAAGGCCTTCTGAGTGATCTACAAGGTACCCGCGAGCTATTCAAAATTTATTGGAGAGCGTCTGTTGGCTACGACAGAAGCGGCTGCCATCAGGCTCCGCAGACCGGTCCTGTGCGCCCAAAGAACTTAGTCGCGGCGCCGCAGTTACCATGGCCGAACGTCGCTCATCCAAAAGCCTGCCAGGCTCTTCGGAGGCTGATCCGCTCTTTGACCCCAATTCCCTCATCTCTCCACCACCCCTAATAACCGCCCGAATTGTTTTCTACCAACCCGCATAATTTATTCAGTTGATTACTATCTAAATATACGGGT